TTAGATTCTTGTTTGGAGAGTAGATCTACAATATGGGTGATACAAGTAGGGCTAGTTCAAGTGCTACAAGTACATCGGGGTCGACTTTGACAAAGGCGATCCAAAATTTGAGCATCAATAACACTAAAATTGATGTTCCAAAGTTCGACGGCAAGATCAATTTTGGTTTGTGGAGGTGTCAAGTAATGGACACCTTAGATGCACAAAATTTAGAGGAGACTCTTGAGCTACAAGATAAACCCGAAGATATGGAGGATAAGATTTGAAAAAAAATGAATAGTAGAGCGTGTGGGATTATTCGATCATGTTTGACGCCGGACTTGATTTATGATGTGATGAACGAGACATCGGCGAAACGGTTGTGGGAAACACTCAATGAGAAGTATTTGACGAAGAGCATTAAGAATCAGCTTCATTTGAAGAAGAAGTTTTACCAATTCAAAATGAAGAGGGGAGTTTCCATTAGAGAACATGTTAATAACTTCACAAAATTGCTATTGGATATGGCCAATGTGGATATAATGGTAGAGGATGAAGATAAGGCGATGTTGTTGCTATGTTCATTGCCAGAGGTTGATTTTGGTACCTTTGTCCTTACGATGATCAATGGTAGAACCACTATTATCTATAAGGAGGTGACCTCAGCATTGGTGAACTATGAGTTGAGGAAGAGTGATAGTGAACCCTCCGAGAAGGCATCGGGAGATGCATTGGCAGTGAGAGGTCGTAGTCCAAACCGTCGTCCATTTAATCGCTCCAAATCGAAGAATGGAGGTGGTTATAAGAGTGTTGGTAGGAATCAATGTCGCTTCTGTAAAGAAGAGGGACATTGGAAGATCGACTGCCCAAAGTTGAAGGATAAAGCCGGGAAGAATAAGGGGAAAGCCATACAGGCTTCAGAAGTGAATGTTGCTAAGGCTAGTAGTGACAATTCAGACTCAGATTCTTCGAGCTACTCATGCCCAGCATTACCGTCAGTTTGTTATGCCGACTCTACGGAGTGGATATTGGATTCAGGTGCTACATACCATATTTGCCCGAGGACGGATTGGTTCTCTAGCTTTAAGGAGTTGGAAAGAGGGAATGTCGTACTCATGGGTAATGATCACGTATGTCCTATTGGTGGTATTGGTACAGTTCGGATCCGGATGTGTGACGGGGTGACTCGGGAGCTAAAGGAAGTGAGATTCGTTCCTCAATTGATGAAAAATATCATTTCGCTTGGAACTTTAGAGGCAGCTGGCTATCGGGTGATCTTGGAAAATGCAACTCTGAAGGTCACGAAGGGGGTCCATGGTGGTGATTCGAGGTATCAGGGAAAACAACATTTACTACTTGAAGGGCAAGACAGTAACAGAGGGTCTGGCAGCTTCGATTACCACAGAGAAAGATACTACCAGCTTATGGCATATGAGATTGGGACACACTGGTGATAAGTCCCTGCAGGTATTAGCGAAGCAGGGGCTATTGAAGGGTGCAAAGATCTGCAAGATGGAGCTGTGTGAACATTGCATACTTGGGAAGAAGACTAAAGTGAAATTCGGCACCGCAATTCACAATACCCAAGGTACATTGGATTATGTTTCAGGGAAAACAACATTTACTACTTGAAGGGCAAGACAGTAACAGAGGGTCTGGCAGCTTCGATTACCACAGAGAAAGATACTACCAGCTTATGGCATATGAGATTGGGACACACTGGTGATAAGTCCCTGCAGGTATTAGCGAAGCAGGGGCTATTGAAGGGTGCAAAGATCTGCAAGATGGAGCTGTGTGAACATTGCATACTTGGGAAGAAGACAAAAGTAAAATTCGGCACCGTAATTCACAATACCCAAGGTATATTAGATTATGTTCATACAGATGTTTGGGGTCCTTCCAAGAACACATCACTTGGTGGGGCTAACTATTTTATCACTTTCATTGATGATTATTCCAGGAGAAATTGGGTATACCCCATGAAGCATAAACATGAGGTCCTGGATATATTTGTGAAGTGGAAAAAGAAAGTGGAGCTGCAGACAGGTAGAAAGGTGAAGGTACTCCGTTCGGACAATGGTGGTGAGTACAAGAGTGATCCGTTTTTACAATTTTGTCGGGATCATGGCATTAGGCGATACTTCACAGTTCGTGAGACACCGCAAAAAAACGAGGTGGCCGAGAGATTGAATCGTACCTTGCTGGAGAAGGTGCGTTGTATACTCTCACAGAGTGGATTAGCAAGATCCTTTTGGGCCGAAGCGTTGGTTTATGTAAGCCATCTCGTGAATAGGTTGTCGTGCACTGCGATACATGGAAAAACTCCTATAGAAAAATGGTCTGGTTCAGCGACTAGTGATTATGAGTTGCTCCGGATATTCGGGTGTCCAGCTTACTATCATGTGAATGATGGGAAATTGAATTCGAGAGCTAGAAAAGCAGTCTTTGTGGGCTTTAGAGATGGAGTAAAAGGCTTCAAGTTGTGGGATCCACAAGACGAGAAGATGATCATTAGCAGAGATGTCACGTTTGATGAGACTCACATGATGAGATCTCAAATTCCTCAGTAGGTGAAGGAAGGCCAGACTAGTGGGGCATCGCAGCAGGTGGAGGATGATGTGACTCCACAGACTTCAGATAGCACTGTATCTATTGAGACTCCTACAGAGGTGACACTGGGAGGAGATGATATGACAGAATGAGTAGGATTGCATTGGTTATGTAGATTCTGATTATGCGGGGGATCTTGACAAGCGCCGGTCTACTACTGGATATGTGTTTACACTAGTAGGAGCACCGGTGTATTGGAGATGCACACTTCGGTCTACAGTGGCTCTCTTCACTACGGAGGCAGAGTATATGGCGTTGACTGAAACTGTGAAGGAGGCTTTGTGGTTGCAGGGGTTATTGGATGACTTAGGGATTGCACAGGATACCATCAGGGTACATTGTGATAGCATGTCAGCTATCTATTTGGCCAAGAACCAGGTGTATCATGCCCACACAAAGCACATTGATATCAAATTCTATTTTATTCGAGACGTCTTGGATGATGGAGACGTTAGATTGGAGAAGATTCACACAAAGGATAATCCGGCAGATATGTTGACCAAAGTTATCACTGGAGTGAAATTTGGTCATTGTTTAAAATTATTGAATATTCTTCGTTGTTGAGGGCCTTTGGAGGCCATAAGGGGAACTACGCGAAGGCTTGATTCCTTGGGCAAGAGGATACGTAGGCAGTCATTTATGATGCAGCCGATTTGGTGAGTAGACATCAACGTTTGGAGAATGGTCTCATTCTCATTTGGTTCTTGACTTGTTGTGGATTGAGTCCGTTGTCATGAATTGTTTCACTTCGTACTGGACACAAGTGAGACATTTGTTTTGTTTGGTGTCGGCTCGGTTTTAGGAAAACTTCGTCGAGGTGGAGATTTGTAAAAGGGAAAACCTGAGAACGAAGCTCGTCTTGGATGGCGAAGTTGAGGAGGCGAGGAAGATCTCGCATGTTGAGGCGAGAGCGAGGGGGCGAGAGTGGACTCGCCTGCTGGCGGGACAAAAGCGAGGGAACTCGCCTGTAGGGTGTTTCGAGCTCGCATGTCTCATGGTCGGATCCAGCTGGACCCAGCTGGAGGTGTTCTAACCTGTTGAGCGTCGATCTCGCCTGCGGAGCTGTTGGGAAGTCGCCTGCGGAGCTGTTGGGAAGTCGCCTGCTCGCGTGCGTGGAGAGGCGAACAGATCTCGCCTGTTGAGAGCTCACCTGACATTGTTGGATCCAGCTGCAACTAGCTGGAGGAGAACTTACCCTAGGGTTTCCCTATAAAAGGGGAACCCTGTTCACATGGGAGTGAGAGCGGAAATTTGAGCAGAGGAGAAATATCCCAGAGGCGACGGCTTGTTCTTTCTGCGTTTTGGGCTTTTTCCCTTTTGTCCCATTCTCATAAATCTGAGAAGAGGGTTTGGTGAATATTTATTGAGGGGGAGTTATTGTAATTGAGAGAGAGAGTTTGAGTATTGATTTTTAGATTAAAATCAATTGCTATTTGTTTGAGAGATCTCAAGTTTGAGATCCTCTCTCTGATTTGTAATTTCTTGTTATTAATAAGAAATTATTGTGCCGCTCCCGTGGACATGGGCAGATTTGCCGAACCACGTAAAAATCTTGTGTTCTTGCTGTGATTGGGTGTTGCTTGTATTATTGTGGTCTATTATTGTTCTTGTGTGTGCTATTGACTTGCTGAATCGGCTTCCGCGGTGCACAACATTAAACCCATCCACTTTTAAATTGTAGCCAAAAAATTCCACCGAAATTAATTTTAAATCCATTATCTAATTTAATAGTTTAGTATATAATATAAGTTGGTATATTATTTGTCCTCAGTGGTTAACGTACAATGCAATTTTAAACAAACTTGCTTAAACTGTTGTTTTTTTTTGTGTGTGGACATTTTCACACTTTTTAAAATCACTATTAGAACCAAAGTATGTTGAATCCCACTTTACATTTCTGCAATTTGGTATAATATAAGTTGCTATGAGGGAATAGGGTGCCGCGAAATGCTTAAACCATTAATTTGTTTGGCTTCTCTACACTAATATCGTGACATTGCAAATTGCATGAGTTTTTTGGCTTATAAACACAGATTTACTCCCATTTATCTTTAAATCCACCCATTTCGAAAAAAGCCTTTTTGTCTACAAACTCAAGGTTTTTCCATCATTTACTGTTAAATGCATACACTTTCGAAATCAATATTGGACCAAAAATACTCCTCCGAATTATTTTTAAATGCAATTTATAAGCTTTGACATACGATGTAAGTTATTGTCATTTCTTATAACATTGTTAATTTTGTTCTAAATGTTTAGATATACAGTGTATTTTTAAACCAAATACTCAATCATTATTTTTTGAACTTTTTCCACATTAATGCCACAACAATGAGCAGATCAATCACACCTGTTTTTCAAGAAAGTTTTCTCGAAGTCTTTCTGATAGAAAACACTTGCACAAAATAATGTAAGACAAACCACTTGACATATGACTTCTATTTGAATTTTTCAACATTCTAAGGATGAGTATGCACAATGTTTTCTGAAAAATTTCCACAGATTTACCCAAGTATTTGGTTAAGCCATATAAAGAGTAGGACATAGTACTCAGTAGTACCAAATACAGATATTTGAAAAGGCAAGTGAAATAAATTGTCAGATGAACTGAAATTTTGCTGACAACAGCAAACCACAGTGACCTTAACTGAATAACCCTGAAGAATGTCCAATCATTCACAAAATGATGCGCGAACACTGCAGCTTCATTTGATTAAGGAAAGAGAATTTAGTTCTTCAGCCAACAAAAACAGATTCAAAGGGCACTAAAGACACTTGTATCATTTTTTGGCATCAGCAGATTCCGTTGAGGTGGAGGTGGCTGTCGCATCCCTCGCACACTGTGACACATAGGGTTTAAGCTGCATCATGATGATATTGTGTGTTAGGAACAAATAACTCATAAGCATTAGAATGCAGTGAAAAATAACAAAGGTTAGTATACAACAAAAAATTTGAAGTAAAAGCTCAAGCTACATTCCCACATTGATCTTAATGGGTTCATCTCTGAACTGCAAATTCATATTACAAAAATGTTCATGCCCATATGCATACAACTCTTTTGTGCTTCTGAGTTGTTCATACTAGACTTGGCACGTGCAAACATAAATATGCGTGTTAAGTGCAAAACATGCAATATATTCTAGATTTTTAATGAAACAAGGAATTGGAACAGGTGTATTTGAGAGAAAAAAAGAGGATTCAATTACATTAGGAACCAAGAAGCTCCACAAAGTACTAATAAGGGCTCAGTATGGCAAGCCTTATGATTTTCTAACCACATTCAGCATAAACCTTTTATTTATTTATTTATTTGACGTTATATGATGTTGGGACACACTTGTGAACTCAATATTTCTAATAATTCCTAAATATGCTTATTTAATGCTGCTGACTCATAGCATGTTTGGAAGCAGGGCATGGGCAAATGGTCTTGGGGGATGTGGATCCTACATTAACCCTTCCAGGATTAACCCATAGTGAGCTGCCAAGCACTGGGTTATAATTAGAAGAATCTTAATATTTAATGGAATGGGTGGCATCATGAGATTGACCCAGACATAAGAAAACATATGTTGAAGGGCTCACCTCCTTATCTTTCTAAAAAGGATAGCCCTGTGGTACAAAATGCAAAAAATACTTGAATGCTATGATTTAGTAACCCTCCTACGCCTATATTTAACCTAACGAAAGAGCGAAGAGATCTTGCATTCGGTTCCTCTCATAAAAAAGTACAACGCAGAACCTTTTTCACCTTCTTTCATAATAAACTCCTCCACGGCATAATTCAATTTCTTCTTTACTTTTTAATTATGCAACACAAATTAACATGTTTGGGTCAATCACATCTCGTGGTCATCAAGCAAGAATCATGATATACTGGGTCAATCACATCTCGTGGTCATCAAGCAAGAATCATGATATACGGGAAACTTAACGCCTGAGGGGTCTTTGGTCTTCAATGACAAATCCAGGTCAAAAAAACTGCACTTTAGGTAATAAGTTCAGAGAGATCATTCACAATTTCTTGGCAAGCCAATAATATTTAATAACTTTTATTCGTTGGTTGATTAAAAGTAGTTTTAGATTTTCCATAAATGTTTTCAACAATTTGATAGACTTTTTGTGAAATTTCAAATTAATGAATCTGTGATTCAAATTGTGAGATTATTGTTAATTAATCTTTCCATGATGAAACTGAATTCCACAAAAAGTTGCAAAAGACATATAACAAACTAACTTTCCAAAGAATCCATATTTTGTTATCCTACAAATCTTTAAAAAATCCATATTTTGTTATCCTACAAATCTTTAAATTTTCATAACTTTCGGCATAAATGTTTGAGAAATTATTAACATTACTGATATTTTTAACATTCTTCTTCTTGGTTTACTTTTATCATCACATAGACCCCTATAATTGCACCAAGAATTTATCAGCCCATAAGATGATTTTATTTCATCACTTCACTACAAAAGTGTTAAAATTTTGTTTCTGAACAGTTCCAACAAAAACTCAAGGTAACTAATGGGAGCAAAATCTGATTCTCTGTCCAATATAGATTCATAGAATAAATTCTTTAGAAGTGCTAAAGTTTCAAACACACTTCTTTGAAGACATCTGACAAAAGTAGAAGCAGAAGATTAGCTTAACCTCTGGTGAGGATAACATGCACGAAAAAAATTCCAATTCTAAGCAAACATCTAGCTGCATAAACAGACAAATCAATTGAAATGACTCCAAATATTCATGTCTCTCCCTCATTTTTCTTAATTTACATTTATTACCCATAATGAAGGTAGTAACTCCAGTCTATCTTTCCCATTTATTTAGGGGAGGATGAGGCTTATGCTACTGGTGCCTATGGTTGCACAAGTAATTCTACCTCTCACAGTTTCTACCACAAGTTTCTAGGGCCTTTGATGGTGTATTTCAGGAAAACAAGTTAACCAACCCCACTTATGAAGCCCCTAGCTTCTATGCACATGAAATGCGGCAAATGCCTATTCCCGCAAACCCCAAATCACTTCGTCAATTAATAAATTCCTCATAAATTTAGTTCCTCATCTTTCACGTGTGATATTTGTTCACTTAGTATTCATCTCATATCTGATCAAAATCTCTCAGACTGTTGGCATTCAGAAAGTATAAAACATAAGAGACTTCTCGTCTTCTACACGAAGTAGTTCTGAGGCCTAAAAAATGCGCAACAATCATAAATCTGCAAGTGCAAAAGCATCTAAACTCTACCAACCACTATAGTTTCATCACAAATGACTCCATTTCTCTACTAGTTAAAATGAGGAATTGAGGATGTTGGCCAACTTTGGCAATCAATTTACCGAATCCACATGTACTCCTATATCCCCGATAACAGAACCTTCTGCTACTTGTACAAACTCCTTTTACTTAAAATGGCATGCAGACAAATACCCGCCACGATCTTACAATAAATTCAGTTTAGCATTTAGCGCACTGATGATGTCGTTTACCAACAACTATGAGCCAGCAATAACCATCAGGAGATTTAACAAATCTACTTATAGTATAGTAGCACGCTCAAATTTAAAACTAACATAGCTACATAGCATCTTGGTTGACCAAGCTTTGCACTGAGCTTGAGCCCTAATTACTGACTCAAAAACAAGCACTTTTCCATTATAATATTGCAATGCAATTTCACAGGCTAGCTGGTTCAAATGTCAGTAACAGTAAGTGTACCTAATTTCCAAGCTTACAATTATATAATTTTAATTGGAAATCTATAAAGTTATATTGGTTGATAAGCAACTCTTTTTGCTCTCAATTCCTTATCAGACAAGAATTTAATTTGCATTCTAGCATGTGCATAGCTCTTTCACTAATTTTTTGAATATCACTGTGCCACGCTGCAGCAGTATACACAAAATGGACCGAGCATTCACTCAAATTCCAACTTCGTCTCTAGCAGGCAACTTTATGAGGATGCACACAATCACTAGGTTCAAGTCTCAAAAGCAGTTAAGTTTGAACAGACAGCTACTAATTGTTATTTTGATTTGGTCTCGTGTGACCAAATCAACCATTCTTCTCTCAACAATAAAATTCTCAGTTGAGAGAATTCTGGGGAAGTAGGGTTGTTGAGAAAGTATCTCTTAGAGTCAGTTTTTTGAGGGGTGGAGATAATGGAGTAGCCTCTATATAAAGCTCAGTCTTCTCTTTGAGAAAACACAACATAGAAAATCCCCAACCCAATTACCAGAGCCCCCTCAAATATCCATTATGCTTCTCTTTTGTTTTCGTCCACTGGTATCAGAGCGTGGTTTCTACTCCGATCTTGATTTCTCTACTGAGCAAAAGCCCCATCAAAGCCAAAATTTACCCAAAAGCTTCTCTAATGTCTACTCCCTTCCTTGGGCTCGTTTTCCTATGATCTTCTTTCATTAAATATTTTTTTTTCTTTCCCGTAAAAGCTAAGTCATACAAAAGACTTGTCTTCAGAGTTGTTCTACCCAAAAATTTTTAAAAATATCTTTTGTTAGTGAGCTCACGTGAAGCTGTCCTTCATTCACCATTTAGCTTTATTTTTTTAAGAGACTTTGTCGTTTACTTTTGCCCCAAAGCCCCTGAACCTAAAGAGTTTTTCTTGAAAGAACCCTTCACCTTTTTCAACTACATGCATCTTTAAGTTTCCATCACCTGACAGCACTAAGCAACCAGTTCATCAACCAAAGAATCTTCTAAGTCCTTGGAGTTTCTGTTTTCTGGCGCTGCCCAACGCTAATTGCAGGTGCTCGATCATTTCATTACAAATCAATCAACTTTCAACGGTGCATCTTAGGAAGCTGCTTCTTCATTCAGCGCCTCTTAGCAACAATTTTTCTCGAATTGGAGTTTCCTTTCTCAACTCAAAACATACAATTCTTTTAATTTATTTATTTTAAATTAAAAAAACTAACATTATTCTTTTTTTTATATTTGTCTATTACATCAACCTTATACATTTTTTAAAATTAAAACTTTAGTTTTAATTCTCTACCAAATGGCTAGTAAGCTCGCTCTATCATGACTAGAAAAAATTGATAAATTTAATGGCAGTAACTATGACACACGGCATAGAAAAATAGGATATGCTCTTATTCATGACAACATCGATGGTATAATAGAAACCACTTCTCCAAACCTTACTGATAAATCTACAACTAATGAAAAGAAAATGTTTGAATAGTGGGTTCGAAAGGCAAAAAGCCTAATGCTCATGTTCATGGAAGATAACTCGATTAAAATTTTTGAAACTTACAATTTCCATGGACATGTGAAACGCTATAAAAGAAAAACACGACACCGCCTCTGAAGTTAACATTCAATTACTCTTACATAAATATAATTCTTATCGTATGCAAGAGGGAGACAATATCGTAGAGCATATTAATAAGATGATTGTCATGACTAAGGACTTGTCCACTGCTGGGACCGAAATCCCAGAAAGAATGCAAGTTCACAACTAAATTGAATAGTCTACCCTCTTCCCTTACTATGGCTGCTATCACATCAAGACTAAACCCTACCATTAAATCTGTCACTGATCTTTCTATGCATCTAGCGATAGAACATGACTTAATAGCCAATAGGAAAGAACCAGAACTGAACATAGTGTAGCAGAAGATGAATTATGTCCGCCAGAGGCATAATACTGGAAGTTATAAAAACCTTAGTTCTAGTAAACCACAATCGTGATGACCGAAATTACAGCAGTTCAAGAGAAAGAAAGTATCTCGTGGAGCATGCTACAATTGTAGAAAATTCGGGCATTTTAGGCCCACTTCCCCACAAGGTGAAAAATAGGACAATAAGAGAGGCTATAAGCATTTGGAACAAGGGGATACTAGCAAAAAAGAATTCATCGATATGACGGAATGCAATGTTATGATGACAGACATCAGCGGTTGGTGGATCGACTCCTGTGCGACTAGACATATCGCAAAGAGCAAGAGTGGAGTCACAAAATTCACCGAGCTAAAGAAAGGAAAACAGAGGATCTATATGTGAAACAATACCTATCTCGATGTAAAAAGGTATTAGTTCGTATAGATTGGATCTTGACGATAGTGTTCTTATCCTTAAAGATGTGTTCTATACGTCAGGAATTTAGCACAATCTGATATCTGTTCTCAGCTTGATGAAGAAAGGACTGGAAGTTAGGCTCTACAATAATCGGGTTTCTATAGGCAAAAATAATAAAATGTATGCCATGAAAAAATATGTGCCCGAGCATGAATTATGCATTCTTTCAGTAGTTTGTAATAATTCTGATAATAAAATTTTTAATTTGAACTACTTGTCATGTTATATTTCTGAGTCTGAATTATCGCATTCTAGACTAGGACATGCTAGTATGTCAAAAATAAAAGAAATTATCAGAATGAACTTATTACATGCACTATCTAATATTCAATTGCCACCATGTGAACATTGTTTAACTGATAAAATGACCAGAAAACCTTTTATTGGCGAACAAAGAGCCAATGAACTTTTAGGGTTGATACACTCGAATATTTATGGTCCTCTAAGTGTCAAAACTCATAGTAATAAAGAATATTTTATTATTTTTATAGATGACTATTCCAAGTTTGTACACGTCTATCTTATATCTAGAAAATTAGAAGCTTGTGACTGCTTTAAGAGAGATAAGACCGAAGTTGAAAACCAACTTGGAATGAAAATTAAAATTTTGAGAACTGATAGAGGTGTGAAATATAACTCTAAAGAATTTAAGAGTTATTGTATTCAACATGGAATTAAAAGACATACAACAATGCCGTATACACCACAATAGAATAGTGTTGCTAAAAGAAAGAACAGAACATTACTGAATGTAGTTAGATGCATGTTGTCTCATTCTGGTCTCTCTAAAAATTTTTACAGAGAAGCATTGTTAACCGCAAACTACATTTTAAATAGAATTCCTACTAAGTCAGTTGTATCTACACCTTTTAAGTTATAGAATGAGAGGAAACCTAATCTGAGTCGTCTCAGGAAATGAGAAACTATAGCCCATGTTCTCATTCCATACCAACGTAGAGATAAGTTGGACTTTAAAACATTAAAGTGTAGATTCATAGGGTATCAGAAAAATCAAAAGGTTATAAGTTTTATAATAAAAAAAAGGGGTCATTGAAAGCAGATATACTATATTTTTAGAGAATCTAGAGGAAGAGTAATAAGTTGGAGAGGAAACAAAACCACTAACTGTAATAGATGATGATTATTATAGTGTTGTTCCCACTAATGACCCAGATATTATGAATGAACCTAACCTTGAAAATGATAAAATACCTATAAAAAATAATGTACCTCATCAACCAGTTGTAGGCAACAAAAGGCCAAGAACACAATCTTCATGAATGGACGATTACTATTTGTATTCATGTGAGTCATCTTGTTTCTCGGTAGGAAGAACACGATCTCTTAATCTTCTTTGATGCGATAAAATCGCATGAATCAGTTTTATGGCTAGAATCCTAAGAGAAGAACTTGATTCTATAGAGAAAAAAGGTATGAGAGTTATGTGATCTACCAATAGAAAAGCTATAGGATATAAATTGGTGCTTAAAATAAAATACCGTGTTGATGGATCTATTGATAAATTTAAAGCGTTGTTAATTGTCAAAGGTTATAACTAGAAGGTGAGAATAGATTTTTATAAAACGTACTCTCCTGTAATTAAATTTGCATCAATTAAAATTATTTTAGCTATCGTTGCATATCTTGATTTGGAGTTATTCCAAATAGATGTTAAAATTGCATTCCTTAACGGAGAGTTAAATGAAGCTATAAATATGCAACAACCTGAAGATTTTCAAGTAAAAGGATAGGAACATAAAGTTACAAATTAATAAAATCTCTATATGATTTAAAACAGTCGTCTAGATAGTGTCATCTCAAATTTCATGATGTAGTCACCAAATTTGATTTTGTTCAAAATAAATTAGATAATTTTGTATATGTCTTGAAAAGTAAGAGCAACTTTACTATATTATCTAGCAACTTTACTATATTATCCTTACATATGGATGATATATTGCTCGCCGGAAATAACATGGAAATGTTAAATAAAACCAAGGCTGATCTCAACAAAAAGTTTGAGATGAAAGACATGGATAATGCATCATATATCCTTGGAATTCAAATAATTTGAGATAGAAAGTCTAAAATGCTAAATTTAAACTAAAAAAAGTATTTAAGATCAGTTCTCAAAAGATTCAGAAAGGAGAATTCCAATCCGATACCAACTCCATTGGTCATGAAAAAAAGATCGTGTAAAGAACAAAACCCTAGAGAGGAGCAAAAGCCATTAGATGTTCTTTATGCTCAAGCAATTAGAAGCTTGATGTATGCAGTGTTATGCACCGGGCTTGATATAGCTTATGTTGTAAGTCTAGTCAGTTGATATCAAAATAATCCAGGACCGGCATAATGGGAAGCTGTTAAAATAATTATGAAGTATGTCAGAGTTACATTAACTCATAGATTGGTTTATCAAGCCGATTCGCTTGGGTTACTTCAATGTTGATTTCGGAGGTGATAAAGATGATGGAAAGTCTAATTTGGGACACTTGTTCATCTTTAGAGGAGATGTTTCTTGGAGTAGCAAGAAACAATGGTTTGTTGCTAGATACACATGTTGTCCGGATAAGACGATTTTTGATTGATCTAGATCTCAATTTGTTAGAAGAACCTATTGATATTTATTGTGATAATCAATCAGCGATTAGCTTGATCAATAGTGGCGCGAATAGCTTCAAAGAAAAACACATCGAGATCCAATATCACTATATTCGAGATATTGTAGAAAAGGAAGAAGTTAAAATGACTCATATCCCTACTACAGATATAATTGTTGATCCTTAGATAAAAGGAGTACTAACAGAATCTTTTATTAAACATATAAGTTTGATGGGACTTAGAAATAAATAAGTCCAAGTAAAATTTCATAAATAATGAAATAAAAGTTACTCTCTACGAATAGTAGGAGTAATGATAAGTAGAAACATGGATCTCATAGAAAATGGGAGTCGCATCACTTGGTTAATTTGGTCAAGTGGGAGATGTTATTTTGACTTGGTCTTGTGTGACCAAATCAATCATTCTCCTCTCAACAATAAAATTCTCAGTTGAGAGAATTGTGGGGAAGTGGGGTTGTTGAGAGAGCATCTCTCAGAGGTAGTTTTTGAGGGGGTGGAAATAATGGGGTAGCCTTTATATAAAGCTCAGTCTTCGCTTTGAGAAAACACAACACAGAAAATCCCCAATCCCATTACCGGAGCCCCCCTCAAATATCCATTATACTTCTCTTTCGTTTTCGTCCGCTACCTGTAGTGCATGATTGTTTCATCTAATCTCCCTTTATGTTCTACGGCAATGTGGTTTTCCCCTTATTTCCAAAAAATTGTCAACTATCATTTTTCACTACGAAAAGGAAACCATGACCGTTTCTGGGCACACCTTTCTGCGACATGCCTTGCAGGTTTTATGCATCCTAATAAATGATCACAAGCTTAACCATACATTTACTTTCCAACTCTTATTGTCCACTGCACAAAACCTTTGATTATTATAGCCAAATAAATCTTTGGTTATTAAACTCTGTCAACATAAGATGCCTATCATCTACCTATCAGCATCAAGCCTAAAACAATGCCTCCTACACGGAAACCCGCATCCATGTAAACCAAAAACAAGGAGAAACTAACACCACAACAGGATGTTTTTTGCTAAAATGATTATTGTCAACTGATTTACCCAAAAAAAAAAAAATCTTTTCTTTGAGGCAATTTTGATAGGGTTATCCTTGCTACCTTAAACAGCCACCTGTACCTTGAATTGCCTTTCACTTCTGAAACGATAACTAAAATCATAAACCACAAAAAGTTACCTTAAAATCAGTGAGATCAGGAACAATATAGCGAGGCAATTTCTCATCCTGCAACACGTAGCCACCTGTATTTCAACAGTTTTCATCGATCAACAGTTATCATTCATTTAAAATACAATTTTTTCGTCATTAAATAAAAATAACGGAGGGGGGAAAAGATGACCTTTGCGAGTGTGGAAACCAGTGGACTTGCAGTTCTTCCCTTTGTAGTAATCTCGAGGAGCTCTCTTGGAAGAGAGTATGCTCAGGGATGAGGTTCTCTTCCTCCTCATCGCCCGCCCTAACCCTAATATCAACCCCAGCGGCATTTTCTCCGGTGAGAACGAAACGAAACCGTAGCGATCGAGGGAGGAGGGGGAGGAGGAGAAAAGGGCTTAAGGGAATCACGTGATGCCCACGTGTTTGAACAGAACAACATCGGGTGCTGTTTGGCCCACACTCAAAATAGGTCCATTTTTAGACTTCGCTCCGAAGAAAACCCTAGTGATAATATTTCTCGTAAAAAGGGGCTGGTCATAACTTTTCCCTCGAGAGAAGTTGATCTATTTCTTCAGTCCAAATTTCATTTGACCCCCCGAAATCTCTTTCCGAGCTGTTGCAATGGATTCGTATGATTTCAGGAATCGGGCGTCTCCGATGTACAGCAGGCCAGGGGCCGTCTCCGGCGGCGGCGCCTCCATGTACCCGAGGGTGGGGCAGGCCGGTCATGTGGGCCCGCCTCCTGCTCGCCAGGCTCCATACCCTCAGCCTCACCCTGGGTCCGCTCCTCCAAGTAAGTAATTATCTGAACCTTTTAAATTTCTTTTCTAATCAATTTAACTTTTTTATCAAATCGATTTGAATTTTGTAGAAGCCCTAGAGTTTTTTTTTTTGTTTTTTTATGTACGCAGCGATTTTGAAGATTTCGATGATCCAAGTTATTTTCTTTAGGAAATCTACAAGACATTCAGAAACCCTAGACTGCTGGATCTTTGAATTATCTGTAGCAAGTTTACTGTTTTTCCAAAGCAATTGACCATGAAATTGGGAGATTTTATGAGGAAATGATGTGTTATTTATATGTACTTGGTTTCCCCTTTTGAAATAGGCAAATAACTGATGAAATATGAACCTATGGTCGACGTATAGATTGGAACATGTTTTTGCTATCAAGCAAATTCGAAATAAGCATTCTCGCTGGAAATTTATGCAAGTTGTCGCGGGGTATGAGAATGTGGAGCATACATGATGCATCTGCGAGAAACTTTATCAGCGTTGCACATGCGAATTTAATAATTTGATTGCAATCTTTTTAGCAAGTAAATAGAAAATCCTTCTAAACAACCTTATGAAAACCGAGTAATTTGATAGATCTTTTAGGATCTTCTTTTAGGAGTAAGGTCGTGAGATTGGCATGTAAGCTAACGCAACTGTAAATTGAATTCCCGAAGGTTTGCATTATAGCGTAGTAGAGATAAAGATAGAGATAGTTATAGATGTCTATTCTGATGGTTAGCTGGTCATTTCTGCATTCGACTTTAAACCTCATGGTTGATACCACCCTTAGGTCTACTTGTCCGTTTCTTATTGCTTTTTCCCCCTGAATTTTTCATGATTAGAAACTTAATATGTTTGTATGTGTTATTTTGCAGCGGGATTGGGTATTCGAGTTGTGATAAAGCCAGAATACAGGATAACCCCGCCAGTAAGATCTGTTTTCACTGGTTACACATCCGTTTCATTCTTCCTTTTCATCTAAACATAACTTTTTCCCCCACATTTTTGGAAGTTTCAAGGCTTACACAGTTACTGAAATCTTATGAATCCGTTCCGGTTGTTATCTGGTCATCTTATCCAACAAACTATCCTCCATAGTGCCAGCGGAGCACAGTTTTAATTTTAATTCTTACATATGTTTTCAGTTTGGAAAGTTCACCTACAATGCCCCCACTTTAAGAAAAAGGGGGAAAAAGAAAAAAAAAGAAACTATCCAGTGCCCCCTTACAAAGAATATCATTTTTTATATTCCAAGAGAATTAATATGTATTTCCATTATATATGTTTCCTTTTGTGAGAAAGAAAGTAGATGATAAAAAGTTATCACAATCTAGAGAATGGTAGGAATGAAGGAAATACTTTCTGTGTGGTCCATCTTTTAGAAAGGTTTTCGAGCTTATTTGTGGTAAATGTCTCTAGCTCATTAAATTTTATTATATAAGTCTTCAAGTCCATTTTCTATTGTAGAGGTCTTTTTGGGAAATCCTGGTACTCCAATTGCGGATGGTGTAATGTTAATTATGTGGTAAAGCCACTTTCAAGAGTATAGACCAGTACAAACTTGGCAATTTATTTTCTATGAAATGTTAACATATCAGGATCCTTAATGATGCATATTTGCCTATGGTTTGTACATCCTGCAATTCACAATCTTTTGGCACCTAAAATTATGTCCTCTTGCATGCTTTGCGTGTTTATTCCTCTTTTGTGTTATATAACATGATCAACTTAGAGCTCTTTGTATCATTCTTGACCATCAGTGCTGACATGAATTTTCGAAACCATAGTTTTCATCTCATTTTAGTCAAGAAACTCATCCTTCCTATATTTTCGTATTTCATGTATATTTCTCATAACTATCGAAATTTTCAGCCTCCACTGGCACCACAAACGGCAGAGGTTCCTCGGAGCACATTCCATTATGACTTTGACTTTGAGAAGAAGATATTAGCTGAGGCAGAGAAAGGGACCCAGAACTGGAGTAGGATTGCGGCAGAAACCCAGTCAACGAAAATTGCACCTTCAACTTCTTCTACGGTACAATTTTTGGTTGCTGTCTTTTCCCTATCAAAAAAGATGAACTGCATGTTCTTCAGGAATTCTAACCTAAGTTTACAGCCGTACACACGCACTCAAAACATCATAACTTTTTTATATGAATTTTAACTTTTTCAATAACCCCCTGGAATTTTTTAAATCTCTCCTCTCTTTTTCTCCTCTCCCTCTTCTCTTCTGCTGCTTTACTCCATTTCGCTGCTGCTGTGCCTTGCTATCTCTCCTCTTCTGCACCTATTTTCTGCTTCTTATGCGCCCTCTTATGATCCTCTTTTATTTTTCTTGGGTATTTTTCAATTTATTAAGTTTGAAAAGAAAAATGCTTAAGCACCATCTAATGCTTTGGCTGTTATTCACCATCAATCATTCTGATTGTTTAGCAGTGTCCATTGCTGGTAGGGAGCATACAACATCAATTATTTCCATGATATCCCATTCAGGTTCTCCATAAATTTGCTTGTTTCATATTTTCCTGAGAGGATACTAAGAATTTCAGTCTTTTTCAGAGCTGGATAAGTTCATTTCGGTATATTGATATTACAAGTGTTTTTCATATTTATGATTTTAACTAAAAAGTACTTGGTGTATATTTACTCCTTGTTATCGTTACTACCTGATAGAATCACAGTAGGCAGGTTTTGCTTGTTCTTTCACTAGAGTTAGCTTCGCAAGTAAAAGTATTTGCAGTACAAACATATATTTTTGAGCGACGTCTTACGATCTGAATTTTTATATTTCTGAAGGAACCTGTGGGTGATCCAATAGTGAACAAATATGTGGCCTCAGGGCTTCCACGAGAAGCTGTATCACTGGCAGTCCACAACTACGGTGATAATCCAATTAAGGTACTCCACAATTCGCAACAACAGTTCTCATGATGAACTTGTATTTCAGATTACTAAAGCAAGGATATGTATATATTTCTTCAGGTAAGGGAATTTGTGAAAGGCTATAATCTTCTCCGAGAAATGGGTTTCTCATCAAAAAATGTGGCTGAAGCACTGGCCATGTATGATAATGACACTGACAAGGCTCTGGCATATTTTCTAAACAGCTCACAGTGACTTTGTACACACTGTATCTTTAGTTGATTCTGTTATTCCTTTGTAATATACAAGCAAGTTTGTTATGTTTCAACACTTTTTGCGTGCATAGTACAATAGGACCATCGTTTTTCTGGAGCTTTTTTCGTTGAACAAATAGTTGATCTCGATACTTAATACTTGTTAACGGAGGGGAAGAATGGGTAAACAAATGATTGTTTATTACTCAGTGTTGCCATAATTTGTAAATTACTTTCTCCCTTCTCTGTGGTAATTTGCAAGGTTATTTGTGAGATGTTGTAATGGGCTATGTTCTTGTTTCCAAGGGCATATTTTTGGATAGCGCATGAAATTTTCGTAGGTGTGGATTAACTAAAATCTTTCTGTTGGCTCTAGCTTTGTAAAATTGTGGTTCTTCGATCTTAAGATGCATGACTAACATTCAAACAATTTTCTAATTAATTGTCATGCAACTATGTGAGAACACTTGGTGCGATCAGGATTTCTGTTTAGCTGCTTAATTGCCCTACAACTCCATGGCTACATGACAAGCTACAAAGTCTAATTTCTTGAAGATGCAGACGCTACATTAAAAAAATCGCAATAACATAACCTTGATTAAATAGAGTAAAGAATGATTCTATACAACAATTCCCTCGGGAGTTTCAAATTGGTCCCTCTCAAGGAAAGAATAGTAATCTGTTGGTGTGATAATACAAGGCAGATTTAAAGTAGGTCATGGGTAATTCCCTTCAGCTTCAACAAACGTCACGCAGTAGAAACCCATATCCCCTATAGGTGTAAACGCCAGTGCTTCATCAATTCTTTCAGTCACATTCTAATGAAGCTTCAATAAATAGCAGGGATTCCAAATACAGGCTTAAAAACCACCGCCTTCAACTGCGGAAACCCTTCAAAGATATCCTCGAGAAACATTCCAACCATTTACTATGCACATCATCACACAGCTGCACATAGGGCTCCTGAAAGCATGTCAAAAACTAAGCAAAATGAGGAATTGGGGGAAATTAACTTAATTCTGTAATCTGCATCAGAGTATAAATCTGGAGGTTTTGATGAATTTGTCATGTTAAGAAGCCATTTTCTAATCCTTGGTATATTATTGTTGCATTTCAAGTTTATAGGAAAGTAGATGGAGGGAGGGAGGGAGGGAGAGAGAGAGAGAGAGAGAGAGAGAGAGAGAGAGAAATGAGGAAAAGGA